GATGCAAACGCCCACTCTTTTCTCTGGACTTCAAATTTATAAGAAGATCAACAAGGTTAATTATTCTCAAATTAAATAGCTGATTCCTCTTACGCCCCCCTAAATGATGATACCCGAAGTAAGGTACTTTTTAGTTCTTTATCCTCTGTTGCACAATTCGCCTCCCCAGACATCTGACATCTCCCTAGCATCGCAGAGCCGTTTACTTTCTTCGTTCTGCACCCCAATTAGATCTTTAGGCTCCGACCACCTCCCCATACTTATCGAACTACCTCTAGATGAAAGCATACCTTTTCTCCAAAAAAAACTTTCATTCAGTTCCTCAGGGCTGATTGGCGGCAATTTACCGACGAGATTGAGTCGGTTGCCTTGCCTCGAGATTTCGTGCTTCAGTTACAGCCGGGGAGAAATTCTTTCGGGGTCTGGTACTTAGGGCAGCACGCCAGCACATACCCGCCGGGCGCCAAGGCCATAACATCCCAACTTTTTCTCCAGAGTCAGCCCTCTTGCTGCTGAAAGAGGTCTCGGTCGCCACAAAAATCAGCTCATTAAACCTACATAGCACTCCTTCCCAAATGAACTCCCAACTCCTCAATTGAACTCCCAACTCCTCACTTGATCTCCCAACTCCTCAAGCGAAAGACAAGAGAAACAAGTGCCGTAATTTTTCCAGACCTGTGATTATCGCTCTGGCGCCGGAATGTTCGGGAAAATGGCATGCTCCCTAGCCGGATCCAGGCCTGTCGTAGGAAGGCACCCTATTCAAATTGAAAAAAAATTAACCATCTCTTCAGACACAAACATTGCCAAGACTTATAACAAAACAGTTTACAAATACCAGGATTCATGGGTCAGATAAGCTAATCCGGAAAACTAGACGCAAATTAGCCCAGCTCAACTTTTCAGATAACCCTACAAGTTCCTCCCTATAAACTAAGCAATCCAAAGCAAACCCTCGCGAGCTCTTGGTCCAGATGATCTCGCGAGTTCTTGGTACCCCTAGCTCTTAATTTTTTAACCTTTTTTAATATGTCGCTGTCTGAAAAAATATCCCTAAAATGTGGAAAAATTCGAAGATAATCCCTCTGCCCAAACCAGAAAAGGCCCTTAAATTATCCATTTTTTATAGGCCCATCTCTTTACTCTGCCCCGCTGTTAAAGTTTTAGAAAGGCTTATTCATCGTTTTTTAACAAAGTATCTTCCTACCGCCAAACATCAACATGGTTTTGGTGCTTTCCACTCTAGAATTTGTTGTCACAGACGGTATTAATCAAAATCGCTCTTACTCCCGCACCGTTCTCGCAACGCTTGATCTCTCGAAGCTTTTGATTTGGTGTGTAATCGTACTCTCGTGGAACTAACTCATGACACACCGCTGGCTGAGTAACTACTTGAACGGCCGACAAGCCACCACACTTTTTAACAACCAAGATTCCCACCACACAATAGCTCACCGTGGACTTCCCCAGGGCTCTGTTATTTCGCTCAGTCTTTCTAATTTTACGTCCATGACGCTCCCACAGCCCCCTATGATGTTCGTCTAACATCTTACGCTGACGATTTTCATCCCTTTTCCCAAAGCCCTTATGTAGAGGCAGCATCTCGATCGTTGAACGATTAGTTTCATCATCTTTTTAAATTATCTATCGCGTCCTCTAAGGGATCAGTAACCCTTGTTTCACCGTACAATTAAAACTTTCACTTATCATCCAGAGTACTTTTAAGCAAGGAGCCACTTCCTCTTAACCTAAACCCAAAATATTAAGGGGTTATTTTTGAACCAACCTTATGCTTTGCTGCACACTGTAAAATATCCGCTGATATGGCTCGCCGCAGGTTATGTGTCCCAAAAGCGTCAGCAGGATCCTCTTGAGTACAGTCTAAAAAAAATTCCACTTACAAAGCCTTAATACGCCCCAATTTAGATTATGCCTCACCTGCCTGGTCACCTGCCGCTAGCAAAACCTCCATTAATTACCTGCAGGTTACCCAAAATCAAGCCCTAAGTGTTATTACCACCTCAGTACTCATAAGTTCCACTGCCCACCTGCACAGTGAGATCTTCATGGTTCTAAATCACCACACTCTTCTACCCTCTCAGTTTCTTATCTCGTCATACTGCTCCCATCACCCGAATATTTTAACCACTCACATCCCGTTTTTCCAAGTCAACTTCGACAATCGATTTTAAGCGTTTTAAAAGAAAATACTGACGTCGCTTTAATCAATCTTAACCATTCACTCAATTCTAATAACCTAGAAAAAAGTTTCCACTTTCGTTTTTAACCACCACAAGTCCCTTTTGAATCACAACCACACAAATCTAGTAAACAAGGTTCTCGCAGAAATCCCTCCCTCTTAAATAAATTGTATACCGCCCCCTAAGATCGACCCCACAGTAAAATTTCTCCCCAGAACTACCCGCTGTAAACTATCACAACTCCGGTCTGGTTACAGCCGGATTTTAATCACAAACCTCTCCCGACTAGACAACGAAGTTTCCCACTATGCCCGGACTCTGACCTAGCCTCATTCCAAACTTCTAACTGCCCCAAGAATCCCTCCCAACCTGTGGCTTAGGCCGGTAGAAGCTGCGATATTCCTTAGCCTGGAGATGGACGAGCCCAACCCAACCAACGTGGGCTAACGAATCGAAGAAGGAGCATTTGAAAAGCGTAAACACTACCGGGTCCGTGAAACAGTAGAAGAGTCGCAATTTGGATCTTCTCAGGGTGAGTATTTTGAATTTTTTGAACTCTTCTTTATCTAATCTGCATATTTCATTTTATCCTTTTTTTATTTTTTTTTGTGTTATTATGGTTGTATATCTGATGTTACGATCAAACTATGCGAAAAAATTCAGTTCAAAATAGATAGTTTGTCGGCTTTTTTCCAGTTTCCCCTCTTTCAAATTCTATTTTGAAAAGTCTATTTATTGTTGTCATAATGCAATGAAACTTGACGTGGTGAAGAAATCGACAATTCAGATTCATGAACAAAGTCAGATAAAAAACTGGATGAAATTACAGACTGTGATCAGATTTTCCTGAAATTCTAAAGATAATTGAAATTGACAATAATAAAAATACGAAGTAATTGTTGTCTACTTGTTCACTTTCATCTATTCCGCGTTCAAAAACCATGTATTGAATGAATAATTGTTTTACTACTTGAACTCGCATGCTGCTTTTTTTAATATAAGGAAGTTTGGCTCTTTTCCAGTTCCCCACCACTTTCAAATTCAATTTTGAAATGTCTATTTAACGATGTCATAACGCAATCAAATTTGGCGTGGTGAAAAAATCGACAATTCTGAACAGATTTGTTCTTCATACTTTACAGCGTAACATCACGCGTTTAGCCGTAATAACACGTAAAACAAATATAATACTCGGTATTTTGAAAGGGGGGAACTGGAAAAGAGCCAGTTTGTCTAAAGCAGATTTTTTTTGCATAATTGGGCTCTTTTCCAGTTCCCCCCCCCCACCTTTCAAAATACCGAGTTTTATGTTTGTTTTACGTGTTATTACGGCTAAATGCGTGATGTTACGCTGTAAAGTATGAAGAACGAATCTGTTCACAGTTGTCGATTTGTTCACTACGCCAAATTTCGTTGCATTTATGACAACGTTAAAGAAGCTCTTCATAGTTGAATTTGAGAGGGGGGGACTGGAAAAGAGCCCATAATTGCAATGATGAAGTAGTTTTCATAACTACATGAGTTGTTGAGCTGTTCTGTGGAAACCACCCATAATTTCAAAAAAAACTGCAAACCAAATTACCCTGGAATTGAAAAATAGTTGTCGAAATATTATTCCATGCCTAATTTTTTTTAAATGTCGAAAACCTTGTACAAAAATGATTGCTATTATTTTTCAACACGTGCTTTTTAAATATTTTTTTTATTATGTATTGCTTTCTGAACTTAGATCAACATATCAATTTATTTTAATTTCCAAATATTGAATAGTTGAATTTTTACGCCCAAGTTTAGTCAAAGTCTTCATACCAGGTGATTATGCTGCTGAGCGACAAAGTGTTATGATATGGACATCGTTGGAAATCAAGTGACTAATTCAAATTTACACTTAGAACTCTTACAACTTTCGGCTCTTTTCCAGTTTCCCACCCCCCTCGAAAATTTGCAAAATTGGGCTGATTAAAAAGTGTTTACACAGCTTTTTGCATATTAGAAAATGTAGTAAAATCTTGTTTATTTGACACTCTTTGATGCAATTTACATCATGAAAATAATTTTAATTAGGCTTTCGTTTTTTGAGTTTCAGAAAAAATAAAATGTGGGAACGGAAGAGAGGCCAGTTTTCTTGTCTTTTAAACTTAAATGACCCCAAAAATTTAGTTGCCATCAAATTTCATTTGTCTGCCTTGTTTCATGTGTTACCACTGCTCTTTTCCAACCCCCCCCCCCCCCCCCCCATTCAAATTCAATTTTGAAAAGTCTATTTAACTTTGTCAGAATGCAATCAAATTTGGCGTGGTGAACAAATCGACAATTGTAAACAAATTTGTTCCTCATAGTTTACAGCGTAACATCACGCATTTAGCCGTAATAACACGTAAAACAAACATAAAACTCGGTATTTTGACAGGGGGAACTGGAAACAAGGATCATAATGGAATTGAGCTAATGAAAAACCAATAAATTGGGGCGTTTTTAGGACAAGCATCAAACATTGAGGAGAACTTGAAAATCCGAAATTTGAGGGAAGGGAGGGGGATTGAAAAAAGCAAGTTTTCAAGAAACGGGAAGAATAGTGGATGCTAGTCAAAGTTTCGAGTCATTAAAAAATGAAACTTTTTTTCTAAACAAGTATTGCCTTTATTTCAAGTAGTTGTATATACAGTGTTAAATTTGACTGCTATGTTTATCGAATTAATGAGGACGCCGACAACAAACGAGAATGTAATCTGATAGCGACTATATCGGTCAGCGAAACGCGGCGTAATTAGCGTTATACTTTTGGAACTACAAGCCAAAATGCAGAAATTTGCCGAGACTAAGAAACCGAAAGCCGACTCGAATCGGACGAAATCCTCGAAAAGTATCGGATTAAATCGCAGCCAATCACAAGCCAGTACGAGTGTGTTGTCGGCTCTGTCTCAAGTAGCATCGGGTGGCAATGTTGGCGCTTCGGAACTGGCAGGCGGTGGAGTTAATGAAATACCGAAAGACTGTTCTAACTTGGCGACTATTAGTCTGACTATTGCTACGGATTTGAATGGGAACCCAAATGGAACGGGTAATTATCAGTTGTTGACAGTATTCCATAGTTCAACAAGCATATCCGGTTGCCGTGCACGTAGCACAGAATGTTCCGAACGCATTCTCAGAAACACTTTTTTAATTAGTTTTTTTTCTGGAGCGTCATGTGATGATAGAACTGTAAAAACACGTTGAAATTTATTAACTTAAGCTAAAATGATAATGATCCTCAAAAATAAGTAAACAAAAAAAACTAAATATTTTAAAATGTTTTTAAATTTTTTCATTAAGTTTCTTGTCTCTTCTCCATGCTTTCCCCGCGGCTCTTTTTCCTCCCCCCCCCCCCCCACTTCACACGACCTTCAATATATTAGGGTAACGAGTGGTTTTACGAGGTTGAGTATGAAAACCAAATATGTTTGTCGTGGCCTTATTAGTCTGTATGTAAAATTTCATAGCAATCGGACAATGTAGTCAACAAATTTACATGTTAAAATTTGCAGGTGGGGGGGGGGGAAGGAAAAAGAGCCTTCCCCGCATTTGAGTTTCAGTTTTGAAAAACATTTTAAATAGACTTTCTAATAATGAATTTCAAGAAAAATCAAGGGGACTGGAAAAGAGCCTTCAAAAAATCAGCAAAGTTTTCTTGTGCTCTTTTCCCGGGTCTTTTCCAGTCCCTCCCTCCCACTTCAAAATACAGGTAAAAACACGTAAGTATACAAAAATACACATTCAAATTACACGTAAAAACCGTAATAACACGTAAAACAAACATAGTTTTATGTTTGTTTTACGTGTTATTACGGCTAAATGAGTGATGTTACGCTGTAAAGTATGATGAACAAATCTGTTCACAGTTGTCGATTTGTTCACCACGCCAAATTTCATTGCATTATGACAATGTTAAATAAGCTTTTTAAAATTGAATTTGAAAGGAGGGAACTGGAAAAGAGCCCTTTTCTCGACTATTTTCACACCACATTTGAAGATCAGTTTCGAAAAATGAGTTCAGCGTAGTCACTTTCAATGAATTTTTGCATGGTCAACAAACGAACTATTGATAACACAGCTGTTCTTCGAAACTTTCATTGTCACGCATTCAGGCATAAAAGAACGCAAGACAACTGAAAAAACGAAAAAATTCAAATATGGATAGGGGCGGGGTAAAAATGAGCCTTATTTTCCAAGAAAAGCGGCTCTTTTCCCCTTTTCCCCCACGTGTGATTTTTTTTAGAAACTATTTTTACGTTGTCACAATGTTGTGAAAAATTACATGTTGAACAAATGACTATTTTGAACACATGCTTGTTTTCATATCTTTCGTTGTAAAAACTTGCATTATGGCAAAATAACACGTAAAGCAACTGTAAAAACTGTCAAATTTGAAATAAGGGGGTGAAAAATTGAAAAGAGCAAGTGAATTATTCAAAGCTAGCTTTCCTTTTAGTAAAACAATTTTTTAGCCTAAAATGCTACTTTTTATCTATAAAGAATGTTAATTAATCGCTTTACTCGCTGCATATTTGACTAAAGATTTTAAACCAGTTTTTCTCAACACTTGGAAAATTTTTTGAAACTTTTCAATGTCACTCGAATTAAAATTGAAAAGGCAGCGATATGATATATCACTCTACCCAGGTTGCGGTATTTAGTTTTGCGTGCTGCAAAACAAAGAAACTAAGATACATGTTCCTCTACTTTTTCAATGGTCGCAGAAAAAAAATTTATAGCCCCAACTACCCCGCTTTTAATGTTATGCGAGGAGGTGTTAAAATTTTTTGCATAAACAATGGGTACAGGACCCAAAAATCTAAAATCAGGTCTTCATTTTGAATTGACTCGCTGGTTCTCTGATTTTGATTTTCAAAAAACAAAAGAAACTTGGTACTAATTTACTCTTCCCCATTTTTGAACTAATTTTTCATTACGGACCTTAGATTTTTTCATGATAAAAAGAGTTCAACAACAAACTGGAGATGAGGTTAATTTGACAGTCATAATAAAAAAGTAAACTGAAAAAAGAAGTTTTGTAGAAAATTACTAGAAAAAAGAAAAAATACATTAAAAAAATATTTAGATGAATTTTTTCAAGTTTTGCAGTTTTTTCAATTTTTCTAAGAATCCAAAAATGCGCTAAAATACTCAGAAAAAATTAACGTTACCCGAGTAAAACTAATTTTACATTTCAAATTATGCGGTTTTAATCTTCTAAGCCATTAATATAAGACTGCTCGCTCGCTTCATTTGCTCGATTTAAGACGAAAAATCAAAAATTTCAAACCGACTTTTCTCAACACTGGAGAATTTTTTTGCAACTTTCAAATGTAGTTCTAATCACAACTGTTAGGCCTTCAATATGATTTATCACGTAACCCAGTCCAACGACTTTATGTGGTACCTGATTTTGAGTGGAAAACGAATAAGATGAAACAAAAAACAAATATTTTAGTACTTAGTTTATTTCAACATAATAACAAAAGATGAGAACTAGATTCACAAAAAGTTCTTGTGCAGACAATTTTTTTCCTGTGCCTATTTGAAATTTGTTAAAAACAGATACTTTTCAAAACACTTCGAGACTAATAGGATGTCACGTGATGAATCATTTTTAAGTCCTGTTAGTGTGACTATATTCCAAAAAAGGAAACACAGCCAACAATTCATTTTTGCTCAATTGATTCGTTTTTTTTTTCTTTCCAGACGCAGACGGCAACCAGATCCAGTCCTACAAGAGATCTGTCACTCTCAACCTCGCTTCTCAGCCCAATATTAGTCTTCACTCTGTCGACAACGACTCCCCCCTCGACTCCAAAGGGGGAGGGGGAGGGGCCATGATGACAGTTGTACCCCCTGATGTGTTGAATAGACTGATGGATATTTGTGCGGCTGATATTTCTGCTAGCGACCAGAAAATGCAAATGCAATTAATCGCGAGGTAAGAAAAAATTAAATGATCAAAATTATGACGCCGCGATAAAAATTTTAAACCCTAAATTTTAAACCCTAAATTTTCTGTTTTTAAATAGCCAGTGTTAACTTCCGTATCTTAAATCAAAGTTGAGAATGAGTTTATTTCATTTTATTGGAAATCAACAGATATCAATAATGGTAGCTTTAAAAATATAAGCGTATGAGAAATGAAAAATTTGACTTCCTTTTTTTTAAATAACATCTTCGCGCCAAGATTGGGTTAAAATATTATCAAACTTAGGTTCACAAAAAATGGATTCAATCAAGGTGCAAAAGCTAAATTTTGAAAAAGAAATCAAGAAATTTGACCAAAAATTCCTCGAAACTCGACAGAAAAGTTATTTTTATGCAGCCTACGGAACAGCAAAGTTGACCAAACTACTGTCGTCAAAAACCCAGATGGGACCGTTACTTATATGCAAACCCGCAGAGTAAAATCAGGCAAAAACGTCTATGTGGTTGAACAAAATATCACAGTATCACGTGATCAAAAGATCACAGACAAACCCGAGAAAGCCAGTGACGCTTTATCGGTCGCTCCGACAATCAGCTTGTCCGAAATTGACTCGCAAAGTATCGTCGAGACAAAATTGACTCGCAAAAATTCGAACAATTCAAGTCAGTTGAAGCGTGTTCAGAAATCGGAAGTTTCTGGAAATGATTTGAAAAACTCAAACCACTCAAAAAGTTTTACTGACTCCAAAAATCTAACCGAAAATTCGAAATCTGGGACAAATTTTTCCGAGTCAAAGTCGCTTCACAATTTAAAACCGGGTTACGATTCGCAAGCTGAAACTGAAACGCCTGGAATAATTCAGAACATTCTAGAAGCTTTACCCGAGAGCATTCGTTCTTCGCAAGTCGCTCCAGCTGACACTAAGTCGGAACTTTCGACTCACAGTAAAGTTGAAAGTTCGGTGAAAGGTATAATGAAAAAACCGAGTAATAACTCGTTAGCTAGTAGTGCAAAGCCGAGTCAAGTCGGGTCGAATCGGGTTTTTACTTCGAGTCAATTATCGCATACGCATAAAACACAGGAAGAATCCGAGAAGGATTTGCGTTCGGCAACCAATAAGAGTTCAGCAACGGGTGGCACGAACTCAAGTCGTAGAATTTCGTTTGACAAGGATAGTTTAAACATCGCAAAAACTCCGGGTAAATCAGATTTGGACACTCTGGATGTTAGAAGCGCCAGGAGTTTGCATTCCGCCGCTAGGCATCATGGAAATTATGGCGAGGATATTCAACTGATGAGGGTAAGGAAACCAAAAATCCATCAACCGCCGCCGACGCAGAGCGAAAAAGCTACTGCTGATGTTATGCCGCCGGCTAGTTCTACCGGAACTGCAAAACCTTTTGGGTCGACTCCTATGAACAAATCCGGTAGTCAGAAGTCTTCAAAGGAAAATGATTCCTCAAAGGTTTCCGGGGATCTTTTGGACGAGCCGATTATTCGAATTAGCAACGCGGATACCTCGTTGCTAGCTTCGTCGAATTCTCGACGCTCGTCTAAAAGCCGAAGTTCACATTCGTCGACTAAAAAGTCAGGTTCGACTAAGACTTTTTCCGAAACACAATCATCGTCAGGGTTGATTGAACCAAAACCCGAGATAACAAAACCCGAAAGTAAAACTTCAAGTGGCTCGGAAAAAGTTGAAACGAAAGCGACGCGGTCTGAGAAAACCGAGTCTGATAAATTCAGTTCGGGAACAGCTGGAAAAAATTCAGAAACAAAAAGTGATAAGAAATTTCAACCCTTTTCAAGTATGGTTTCAGAATCATTGAATAGTACTGAAATGAAATCGCGAATGGCAAGTCGGAACCGCGAGCTCGGTAAAGATTCTCGAGTGGAAACGAACGAACTTTCGACGACCGTTGAAATAACTTCAACAACGAGCAATCCAGCTAAAAGTCGCTCCAAAACCAATCATTATGATGATGTTCTAACCAGCCCACAAGCAAGTCAAGATCTCATGAAAACGAACGATCAGGTATCCGAAAACAGAATAAGAATAACTTCTGAAACTAATTCTCAAAGTGGTAAAACAATTGAAGTTTCAACCACGAATTCGATGACTCATAAAAGTAATAAAGGGTCTGTTAGTGAACGAAGCCAAGTTGATTCAAGGTCAACAAACGGCCGAAAGTCGGACAAAAGGTCACACCATTCGGCTAATCGCCCCAAAACTGAAAGATCGGCAACTGATAGTCCAACATTGACAACACATACGTCAATGATCAGAAATACGACAAATCCTTTAGCCGAAACATCGACAGCGAAAAGTCAAGTTAGTGCCAAAAGCCATTCGTCTAAGAGTCGGAAAAGTCATAGTTCGTCTAAGAGCAGTCGGAAAATACGAATAAGTTCGGCTAGGGCGGGTTCAAGTGCTACGGGCGACCACACCGTTCGGTCTAGTACTAGGCACGTTGGATCCGAAAACTCGGCAGCTCTTCGGAGTCCTGTGCCACCCGACGACTTGTCGCACCAGACGTCGCACGAAAGACGACAACAAAATTCCCGACAACAAGTTTCCCGACAAGGATCCAATTTACAAGCAGAGCCTCAGCCTTCATCTCGTGGTGCGAATGATAGCGGTTTTATGACACGAGAGTCATTCAGATCGAGCGGTCCAAGCGAGCCAAGTCAAAACCGAGCTCTAGTCGGCGACGAAATTGAAACGAATCGACGAGCTTCTCTCGCTCGCATAGCGCCAAGAGGACCCGAAGAGACAAATCAAGTTGTCAGATCGACGAGTTTCGGCGACCGAACCGACAACACGACTGAAGCACGACAACGTCGTGGTGGACCCGATGAGTTTTCAAGTCGTGTTGAAAACTCGTTCGTTCAAAGTTTGAATCCACAGAGCACTGAATTCGATGGATCCTCGAATCGAAGTTCTCGAAAAAGGTCTCGATCTAAAATTGACTCAACTTCTGTCATACCTGAAAATGAACCGAGCTCTCAATCTGCAACTCTCCCTAAAGAGCTGAAAAACACAGATTTTGATGATCACGTGAGTCGAAAAAGCAAAAAGAAAAGTCACAAGTCAGGATCGAACCTCGGTCTCTCGGCTGACGGGTCCGAATTGAAATCAGCTGTTAGAACCTCGGAGATGGAAAGTTTGGACGAGGATAAAAGTACTTTAAACCGATCTCCAAAACCGTTAGAAGGGACTATTTTGGAAAATGATCGAAGAAAGAGCATAACAACACAGAGTACGGCGGCTCAAACTATTGATTTTGAATCAACAATAAGACAAGACAAGCCTTTAACAACAGACGTCCAAACTTTTGATGAAAATCAAAAACATGAAGATGATGAAAATAAAAAATTTTCAGGTTTGTTTGTCGCTGTTTCGACCGCCTCTGAAAAAATTCCAGTTAATAACACAAACACCAAAACGGAAATTTCCACGTACGGAACTATTTCAGAAGATACTACAACTACAAGTCACAAACTGAAACCTTCAAACATTTCGAAGCTTGAAAAAAGTACTGACGTAAGCTCAAAACTGTATTACATAACAAAAGAAGAAGAAACTACAGAACCACATACTTATGACGTAATAGACGACGATCCAACTACTTCAAACCGACAAGCAAGTTTGTCCAAAATTGATAAAAATTCTTTGGCAGAAATTTCGAAAGATTCGAGGTCAAATATTCAAACGATGGCCAGTTCCCAAACTATGGCCGGTTCTCAAACTATGGCTAGTGCTCAAACTATGGCCAGTTCAAGAAGTGTAGAGTATTCTGTGATTGAAGATTCGACCGACAATCCGCCCGCCGTGCCGCCGAGGGTTCCTTTGAAGACTTCTTTTGATGGAAGCACCAGCGGACGAAAAAGCAGCAGGAAAAGTTCGAGGAAAAAATCGGCCAAGGTGAGTGTATGTTTTATTAACTATCAGCTAAACAAAAAGTTTTTCTAAGAGATGGTAATTTTTTTTGCTACAATTTAAAGTAGAAAATATTCATGCTCCTAATTTTTTTCTATAATTTGACACTTTTGTAGATTAAAACTCTACTGCTACCAGAAATCAGTTTTTTGATTTTTTAAAATTCGCTCAACGTGAAAAAAAACTATTCAAACTAGTATCAGCCACAAACCTAAGTGGTTGAAACCTGAGCGCAATAACAATTTGAGTGATAAAATTACTAATTAATTTTGTTAAAACCAATCAATGTTTAGGAGTTTGTTCTACGATCCAGTTTACAAATTCTGTCACCTGCAAACTTTGAAGAATAAAATTCATAATTTATGAAAAAGAACACCAGGATTAATCTGGCAATCAAAAAATGTTGCAATGAATCACCAAAACTTTTCATTGAAATAATTGAACCACCAAAGCTTATTTTTTTGCAAATAACAAAGACAAAGAGCTCAAAAATACTGTTGATGACGCAGATTGAATAATTTCTCCTTCAAAAAAAGACTATTTTGAGCTCTGGGTTGGCAAAAAAAGTAACTTTGACTAATCCTTGAAACCATGTTACACGTTAAAATTGCAAAACGAAGAAACTAAATGCAACTAGTGTACGGTTTCCAATTGTAAGTCGAGTTTTTGTACCTGTGTTTTCGAGACCAGTTGTAAGTTAAATTTTTTAGAAAAAAAAATTGGTCGTTAGATGATTTAGTTTGATAGTGTGTTTTCTAATACAGCCGGCCGCAATTGAGTACAGAGCAACATCAAGATAAACTAATAATCGAAATAAGCACAAGCAAAAAACTGCTTTTATAAGGAGAAAAATCTGGAATGCTCCGAATGCTCTAAAACGTCCCGATGCAAAACTTTTGATTGTCACAAAAAATGAATTTTTTAAATGATTTTTCTCTTTATCTTCTCCACCGCACACCAAGAAAAGAGTAAAGTGATATATTTTGTGTGAGTTTACATTTCTTAAGAGTCTGATAAGAACCAAATTGACAGCTTTAGGCAATTTTGCAACTTTGGAAAAAAATTAGTAGCAGGTAGTAGGACGCTTTAGTGGACGAATTATATCACACTTTTGTGTCCAAAGTTAGCCACATTGGTAATTTTGAAAAGCTTCATTTTACGAAAAACGGTCGCAGATGAAATATATATTTTTTTGAGAGCAAGTCTTCAAACAATTTCAGATCACATGTAAATCCCATCAAACATGTGTAGTTTAAAAGACGAAATTTTTCTTGACAAAAAGTTTGCCACAACACAAATAATATGCCGTTTTCTTCAAATGCCGAGCAATCAAACGGCAAAAATTTATTCATCGAGACACCAATTAGCAAAAATAATTTAATTAAACAATTAAGAAAAAGACTAAAAAGAACAAAAATTATCGAAAACTCGTTTGAGTTGTTTTTGAATTGAAAAAATGCTACGCTAATTGATAATACTGTGTTAATATATAGTTGTTAGATGATTTAGTTTGATACTGTTTATTTTTGATACAGCCGCCTGCAATTTGAGTAAAAAATCAAAATAAAGATAAACTAATAATCAAAATAAATACAAGCAAACTACGCTATCAATTTTACTTTTTCATCATAGTGACAACTTTCATGTACTCAAAAACGTCTTAACTGGAAATCAAAGGTACTTTAAAAATATACAAAACTAAAGCGTAAATAACTCACTGTTGGTAGTCTCCAGCTGTTCGTAATTATGTTTCTTGTTTCGTTTTGAGTCAATGTGCTCACATTAAATTTAGATAATCCGAAGTAAACTTAAAATAGTTCGGCTTTTTTGAAACAATTCTGCGTAAATAATAACTGTTTCGAAATTAAGATAAAAAAGAGAAAAATACTGGAGTTTGACTTTCAAAACTTCCGCGCTATCTCTAGAAATCCTTTTTAGATTTAGAAATCAAGTTTTCGCTACTATGGCTATTAGATTTTAAAAAAAACTTCAACCATTTATTAGCAAGTATGTTACGCCAACTACAGCAAGAGCAACCGAAAAAAATCAACCAGTCCCACCAACCTAACACCTTCGTAATGACACGCAATTTGCACTTGCTAGTTCATCTACCAGTTTTTTTGGCCCGTTACAGTAAAAACTTAAAAAGGTGTTTCATTGTTGTTGTTTTAGTTCTTCTGAAAAAAATTCTATAATTAGCTTTAAAAAATTAGATTTCAGCCGATTTCAGCCACGTTTCACACAAATCAATTTTCCATTAATTTCTGTCAATTTTCTCAAAAGATCTTCATAGCTCAGATAGTTTTGTTTGATTTAGTCACAAATATTAAAACTATTGGCATTAGTATTTTCAACAATTTACTTAGAAACAAATGTAATTTTTATCCTTTCCTTAATATTTTTAACCACACGTTTGTGAAAGTTTTTTATCATGAATATGCTCAAATTTAGAAGAAATTTTTGGTTTTGGAATAAAAAACTTTTTGTCCTTTTGAAAAACAACTGTAATCTATAAATTTAGTTAAAATTTCAAATAGTACCTCTCACATTCAGCAAAGATGAATCATTCCGCTTGTTCATTTCAATCTAAATTAGGCATTTACTTCTCTGGGTTTCCCTAATTTATAGATTTCTAAGTCTCTGGAACTCAGCTCTCTGAACAGAAACAAACGGTTTATCGAAAAATGTTTCGACCTTTTTTGGAAACACCAAGATAACTTCTTAAAAAAACGGTCCGGACTTGCAGTTTTTGGACGTTTCTTAGAACATTTTGAAAGGGAGGCGTAGGGGGGGGGCGTAGGGAAAAAATTCGAAAATTTAGTCGATTCTGTTTTAGGTCGGCCAAGTTGATTTTCCAGGCACTCGTCCCGAAACTCGAAAAAGAACGTATTTTGACCAAATTTTTAGCGCTACAGGCAGACTTCTTGGAACAAACTGGTCAAAAATGCCGTTTTTGGGTGTTTTTTGGAAAATTAGTACATATTGACCGCCCCTGGATAAACGTGTTCATTCGGTTTTATAAAAAAATTTTTTTCAAAAAGTAGAAATTTAATCTTTACAAAATTTAATCAACTTTCATGGAGTTTATGTACAAAAAATAATCCATTGTATTGAAATTGAAAAAGGATTATAATCGCTTATAATAAATTTTAATGTGTTTTCGTTTTTCGAAAATAATCGATTAAAATGGATTAAATCTCCATTTCGTTGTCTAAATTTGCCATGACAGTCGATTATATAGACATCATTTCAGTCAACAAAAATCCATTATAATTGATTTTTATCCATAAAACTTCTCCCTGTATTTTTAGCTGCTTGAAACAATACTATCTGGATGCACTGGATTTTTTTTCTTGGTAAAATAAAAAATTCTTTTTTAAAAATTCGTAGAATTTAGTTCCAGTGAACGCTTCATCAACATGAAGCATCTGCCATCTTTTCTTAATAGTCTCCTCTGAGAAGAGTTTGAAAAATTGACAAAAAAATAAAATCTTTTTTTTTTCACAAAACATGCAATAATATGAAAAGAAAAATACACACGATGGTCGAGATGATTTTTTTTCAGAAAAAAGTTTTAAGTTTTTGGTATAATATGGACTGATTATTCCTTGGAAATGATCTTCTCTTGAAAAACGTCATAAATTTTTGCATTCACTATCTGATCTTATCAATTATTTGAAAATGTACAGAGCAATCGTTATCTTTCCATGTTCGTCTTCAATCTTGAAACATTTTATCTTGCTTGTTCATTGCAAGGTTTGGATTTATTAGAGTCGATGAACGTGTATCGATGAATATGTATTGATGAACGAGACTCTGATATAACTGGCGGTTATTTTTTGTGGTATTTTATAGATAAACTTTTTAGCTGTTTGTCTTTTTATTTTTTTCTTTAATTTCAGTTCAATTATTTTGTTAAAAGGAAGGCAAACTCCAATATCGAACATTCAAAGTAGAATTTAGGTGTTTCGAAAAATAGCCGGCTACTTTATATGATGGTTATACCCAACTTTCAACATATCCATGCTGCCTTAAACGACCCGCACTTGATATTCATGAGAATTTTTTGGTTTTTGAGGAATTCAGAGCTAAAACTAGTTCCATTATGATAGGACATAATTAAATTCTAAGCTGATATCAAGAAATTCACAATCAAGTTACTTAACAGGCAAAGATACACAAACAAACAGTAACTTTTTATTAGATCAAACTGAATTTTTTTCAAACATTGCGTTTTGAACATCGTACCCGCATAGAGTTTCAAGCGTTAATAATCGATTATATTACGATTTTAGTACCACTCTTACTAAAATTGAGAAACAATCATTTTTAATCAATTAATAATCGTTTATAATCTCTCTTTTTGAAATCAATTTTTTATCACTTATAACACAATTTAATCGATTATAATCGATTTTTTATCGGACTATTTTTCGATACAGTTATTATCAATTATAATCGATTATAATCCATTTTTAATTCATGAGTTTTGCACAAAAATCTATTATAATCGATGATAATTGATTATAATCCCTTTTGTTTGCCCGTTTTGTCTTCGAAGTTGCATCTAATTTGTTTATAAATTATGATTTTCGTAGACGTTGGTTCCTGTGAAAAATGAGAAATCAGTTTTTGAAATTTTCAAATCAATTCAAATTTATGAGTTTTTTTTATTTTCTTCCCTATTTTAGGATGCAAAATTCAAGCCTTTTTAGCCTTCAAAATATCAATAAATTGATTTAGTTTCAAGATTGATTCGGAAGATTTATTTTTCACCGCGGAATCTTGCAATTAAAATGAAAGGATCTCTAAGAAATTTTAGTTTCGTGTTAAAACTTTGTGTTCAGATGAACCAAAGTGTGACAAGAGATCTCTCTTTTAGAGACTTTGTTTTTGACACAAAACTATTAACCCATAAGATATAATTCGACTATAGTTTTGGCTTGACAAAATTGTGGCAAAATAAGATATTATAATCGATTATA